AACTAATTTTGTAACCATTACAATTTATTTTAACAATTATTTAAATATGATTGGGACTCCTGAAGAGCTCAACAAAATTGTAAATTACTTGAAATAAGAATTTGAAATGAAAGACTTTAGAAAGACAAAATTTTATCTTGGTTTACAGATTAAGCACACTGGAAGTACCATCTCTTTACACCAGTCTGCTTCAAATGCTAAAGTGCTTGTTTTACATGGAAAATTCACATTCTTTGAGTACACCTATGGTTTTAAGGACACTTGATAGACATCAAGACCCTTTTAGGCCTTGTGAGGAGGGTGAAGAGTTACTTGGTCAAGAAATACCTTATCTTAGTGCTATTGGGACTTTAATGTATCTTGCTAGTCATAGACGGTTTGATATATCTTTTGCTGTGAATTTATTAGTAAAAGATATAGTTCCTCACCTACACGACCTGATATAAGGTACGGTAGATATGGGTCTTTATTATTCAAGAATATCTAACCCTAATTTAGTAAGGTTATGCAGATGTTGGGTATTTATCCGATGCTTATAATGGTCGATCCCAAACTAGTTATGTTTTAACATGTAGGGAAATAGCTATTTCGTGGCGGTTTATGAAAAAGATTTTAGCTGCAACTTCGACCAATCATTATGAACTTATATCTTTCACGAAACAAGTCGAGAGTATGTTTGGTTGAGATCTATTGTTTCTTATATTCGAGGATCGGGTGCATTACATTTGGAGAAAAATGTCCATGTTACTTTGTTTGAAGATAATACTGCATGTATTGATTAATTGAAGGAAGGATAACTCAAAGGTGATAGAACGAAATCTATTTCGCCCAAATATTTCTTCGCTCATGATCTTCAAAAAGAATGGTGAAATCAGTTTAGCAAATTCATTCAAGTGACACTTTAGCTAGCTTATTCAAGAAGTCATTACCAACATTAACTTTTGAGAATTTAGTTCACAAGATTGGAATGCGACGGTTTAAAGATATCAATTGATGTGCTCAACAAGGGGAGTGACCCGACTGTACTCTTTTTCCTTTGATCGAGATTTTGTCCCAAATGTGTTTTTCTGACAAGGTTTTTAACCAGCCAGCGTCATATCTGGAAATTTACACTTTTTCCTTTATTAGATTTTTGTACCACTGAGTTTTTTCTAGTAAAGGTTTTAACGAGTCATTATTCAAAGAAATAAACATATTAGGGGGAGCGTTATAATTATCTAATAATATGGATCCAAGTTATAAAAGTTATATAAGGATTCCAATGTATATAGATATATGTTATCATTAGTTAGATGTTATCTGTTTTTGCTCATATCTCTGTATTTACTTTATCTATAAAAGGAGATTAGTCTCTACAGAAATAATGTACAGATAATTCTCTCCCTTCCTCTCTTTTATTTTCTCTTTTTACTTGTTTTTTCTCTTATTTTTATATCTTTATTCTTGAGTTGATTTTTATAACATAAATAGTATTATCTTATTCAAAAAAGTTTCTTTTACTGACAACAATTTTAGAATCCATACCCTGGACAAATGTATTCAATCTATAATATTATACTAAGAGATAAGCCAGAGAGAGAAACAAAAAAAGATTTCTAGGGGTGCCACATAGGATTTATAAAAATTATAGGAAAAAACGTTGATGCATTTACACTACAAGTCTTTAGGAATTTTTGAAAGTAAATTTTTTTCACACCTATAATTTTAAATTAATGGACAGCTAAATAGGAAAAAAAAATGATATAATTAGCATTAATTAATTTGATCCGGATGTAGAATTATTCATGGATTATTTCTCTGATGATCAAGGGATTAAATTAATATCGTGAGTTTAATGAGGAAAAATTTGAAGAAACAATATGGGTTAATTTCCCACGGTTTTCGAAAGTTACTATTTCTCATCCAAAAAAAAACCCTTGATTTGTTAAATGCCAATCAATCAACAATCCACATTAAATAAAAAAATACAATACTTACTTTAATTAGAACAACTTGGATGTTAACTACTAATGTGACTACATTCATCGGTTTCAAGCTTACAGGTATCTCAAATATGGCAAAAAAAAATATCCTTAATATTCTAATTAATGATTTGATTAGACTCAATCAATTTAATATAAAACCAATATATAATTGTTTTTGAGATTCCAAGATGATCACGGAATTGGAGTTAATTTGTTAGATAACCCATATAAATGCCACATTAGGTAGATATATTTTCCACTGCCAGTGCAACCCTAAAACAAAGCAGCAAATATCCTTCTCGAACCACAATATGGTGAGCTCCTGCGTGAATCAGACGCCTACTTCAACGGTGATGATGTTCCCATTGAGGCATAGACGAAAAGAAGACAAGAATGCCTAAACATGAAAATTTATGGGAGTAGTTGAAGTTACATATTGAAGGATGGGGCTTTGCAACTTTTCCAATATGTAAATCTCACGGTTCTTCCAGGTAATAGGGGATTCGCTCACAACAATCTTGGTGACTGGACCGCCGGAGACGATAGGAAATGTTTATGAATGAAATAAGGAGTTTGTTGGTCTTATTAGAAATTGGATAAAAAGCACAAAACTCTCACTGATTTCAACAAGTTAATTTTACTTTATTTTCTTCAAAATTTTGGGTTCGGCGGGAGGGGAAAGGGGAACACCAGTCACTCAGATTGAAAGATTGTCTTCATGCAAATTGAATGTGCCCACTTTTATCGACTATATTTGCAAAAGTTAATTTCGTGTGATTTCTTTATATTAGGTTTGAGACGTAATCATTCACCACTTTTGGAAGATTCTACCAGCCACAAATCTACTTTGTTTTAATTCCTATTGGGAAAAAAATTTCATGGTTTTTTGAATAATGAGGTAATGTAATGTCTCCGAGATTGAGCGTTAATATTACCAAATTAATGTTATCCTTACGTTCCACAAGAAAAATAGTCTATAATTGAGATAGTGAAAAAAATTGTGTTGTGTCTCTAAGTTTGTAATAACCAAAATATATTGCGTAGATATAGTCTCTAAATCTTTGAATGACAGTACAATTTAGATTTTTATTTTTAGTACTACTTCATTTTAATTTTTAGTATTATAAATAAAAATCAGAAGACAATCATTTAAAAATTAAAATAAAGGGAGAAATAGATAAAGCTAAAAAATCCTTACTACTGCCAGACTCCTATGAAGCATTTATAATGTTTTCACTCATAGATTTATACCCCCAAAATTATTCTAAATTATCAACCTATAGTTAAATCAATGATTACGTATATTTTCGTGTGTTGAGTTGAATTAAAAGTAATAATTTGGGTATGAATTTAACTTTCTTTTCAAAAAAATATATACACATTGGTACTTTCGCCATGTGAGAAATCCCTTTTCAACGCCAACTTGATTACTTCGATTCGAAAATTCAAATACAAGGCAACCTTTAAGTTTTTTTTATAGCAGAACATTAGCCGACTCAATTACCGGTGATATATAATAATAGATTTAATCATTTAAGTAAGTTCAAGAATATATTAATCCTTATGCACACGTTTCTTAAATGAAACTTTTTTTGAGATTTTTTTTTTGATATGGCAAGTAAATACCAAATTTCCGGTTAGAGACAATTTGTATCAAGTTGAATTTTAAAACGGTTATGCATATTATGAAGAAAATGAATACAAGTGGGTAAATAATAATCAAATCTCCAGATAAATTTATACTATCTTTTTGAATTTTGAATTGAACGAATGATGATTATACTTATTTTAGGTAATATATGGATTACATAATCAAATTCCGACAAATATTCCATCAAAGTTAATTAAAACATTTGTATTTAATTACTAAATGAGAATCGTGAATAAGTTTTATGGTTTAGTATATGCCATTTTAACCTGAAATCATGAATTGAATTTTAGTATATTAGCCAAAAAAAATATCAACATCAGTCTATTAAAAAAATTTTAGACAACTAATAAAATGAATAAATAGTTAAATAATCAATATCATCTATGCTCTTTTCTTTTTTTTTTTTTTCAAAACACTTACACTCTATAATATAAGATGTTTTTTCTTTTTGGTGACATTGGATCTTGAATTGGTCAAGTTATTCTAAACGTTTGCTTAGATGTTGGTATATTTTTGCATAAATTTTTTTTTTCTTGAAAAAAAATAAGAGTTGAAGTGATGAAATTTAACCTGAATATCAATATAACATGATTGAATAAGCATGAATTTTCATAGCCCGTATATCGTGCGGGTAACATCTAATAATAATGATGATAACTCCAATAATAATGCTGCCAAAGAAGCTATAAAATCAAGCAAGCTTATCTCCCCGTTAGATATACAACATTAATTATCTAGTTGCCAAAGGGGCTATAAAATTTAAGCAAGTTTATCTCCCTTTAAATGTATTTATTATCAAGTTGCTATTATCACGAGCTATAAAATTTCCTTTGTCAATCCAATTCGAAAACTGAAGAAAATTATATTGATAAAAAAGTTATTCTCTGCAAAAATCCACACTTATAACGAAACATATTTACGAAGGAATTTTTACAGGGTAGTAGAAAACTAGTATCAGTATTTTATGAAATTTTATAATCATTGTAGAGTTTCTCTTCTCGGTACCACAAAAAAAAAGGCAAAAAACTAAAAAATTTAAACTTATTATATTTTCTGGATATGTTACCGCCGCTACATTATGAATTCTGACTAATCCTAACGCTCTAACATGTTAGGATCCGCATTTAATCTAATACGGTATGTTAAGATAATAATGTTCATAAATTACTGCGCTACAAGATAGAGTAAAAATAACCGCAACAAACGAAATACACTATATATAAATAGATAAAATCTTCAAAGCAATCTTCAACAACTTTTCCCACAGATTTGCTCTTCTCATCTGGAGTAGATTTGGTATCCTTGGCATATTCCCCCGACATGCTTGGCTCCATTACACTCTATATATATTATCTCTTTTTCATCAAATTTATTGCAAACACATGAATTAAACCAAGGGCTTTTTCTTAAATCTTGTAGCCTGTGAGTATAGATTTTTTACTCGCTGGTAATACTTTTTTGTGATATTCAATTCAATTATTTACTCCTTCCTTTTAATACAATTTTAAGAGGAGGACATTTTAATAGCTTTTGCTAATTAATAACTTTTTTTTATTATTATTACTCGACGCAGTCTTCTACTCTTAGACTATGAAAAATACGTGACTTCTATTTTGAGATAGTAACAATATCATGTTGTTTTGCAGCTTTATTCTCTTTATCTATTCATGATTAATTCTAAGTTGGAAGCTTGAATCAGGCCTTGGCCTTATATGCTTACGAACCAGATAAAATTTAGTGATTTTTTTGGTTATTTTTTATTTTTATTTTTTTCTTTAGACTATCAGTCTGAAATTCTTTTCCTTGAATAGGCAGGCTTCTTGACTAGTTCATCGATCCCAGTCCCGCAATGGTTATGGGCATTTTTACGGTGGCAATTGTGCTGTTAAACATCATCGAGTTATCAAATGGAGCGATAACAAGTGGTTACCAGAGGAAATCTGAACCGTCCATGGATTTGCCACTTGAGAGCTTTCCTCCACCTCCAGGTCACAGTGCACCTGAGCAGGTAAACTATTTCGTCAAATTAGTTTATTTGAAGTAAAAATATGGTAATTCTTTGATCACTTAATTGAATTAGGTTCGTAATTTTACCTAGTTAATTGAGATAAAAGGATACATGGGTGAAATAAGGAATGAAGCATAATACACGAAATATTCTCTATTTTTTATTTTTTTCTTTGTGTTTTGGAGACATAAAATAAAATTAAGGATACTTTTGTTTTTTCAGAGGCGCTTGATTGTCTTGGTGACTGGGTCTAATTCACTAAACTAGTACGTAGGACTCGATCTCTTCGAGTTGAACTCGTGTACTTCACTCTTTTTCATCTTGCAATGGTTGTTTGTACAATTATATCGAGAACGAAAGAGTATTAGTTTTTTTTGGTAATAGATCAGGGTTCAATTCCTACTAAGTGTTTGTAAGGAGTTTTACCTACATTCAACTAAGGTTTACTGGGGTGATTTTTTTTTTTTAAAAAAAAAGTAATGTGTTTAAGTTTGTGAATATTATTTATATTAATATAATGTCACAATAATCAAATTAAAATTTAAAATGATAATAATTATGTTTCCTTTTGTGATTAACAAATGGACGGTTCTGATTTTATTTCATTCATTTTGCACAAAATGTAGGTACACATAACTCAAGGTGACCATGAAGGAAGAGGTGTAATAATTTCTTGGGTAACCCCTAAAAAACACCCTGGAGTTGTGACTTATTGGGAAGCTGGTCATGAACAAAAGAAGCACAAGACAAGTTCCAAAACTACTCATTACAAATTCTACAATTACACTTCGGGTTACATTCACCATACTTTGATCAAAGGACTGAAGGTACCCCAAACTTATATTGATATCTTGAAAAATTTTGTTTAAAAAATTTCAATCTGGTGTATTATTATGTGTGATGCTTTCTCTTTAATAATGTTATAATAAATCCGATAACTGGTTAGACTAATTTAGATTTTCTCACCCATGTTTAGCATGATACAAAATACTATTATGAAGTTGGACAACATGAGGTTGCGAGGCGTTTCCATTTCACTACTCCTCCACCAGTAGGACCTGATGTTCCTTATACCTTTGGTGTAATAGGTGAGTACTTTTTGGGTCTTATTTTAAAGTTTCAAAAACTATAGCAATTATTATGGAACTTAAAAGCAAAAATGAATTTGCATTGATGTAACCAATACTAATAGATATGGAAATACAATGATTTATGTTTTTTCTTCTTCTTTGTTGCAGGGGATTTAGGGCAAACTGCTGACTCAAACCAGACATTGGAACATTACGTTTCTAATCCACAAGGGCAAGCGATGTTGTTTATTGGAGATCTTTCGTACGCTGATGATCACCCTTTTCATGATAATAGGAGGTGGGATACTTGGGGTCGTTTTGTTGAGAAGAGTGCAGCTTATCAAGCATGGATTTGGACTCCTGGAAATCACGAACTTGATTTTGCCCCCGAACTTGTAAGAATTTATTTTTCTTTCTTTACTTTTTACTATTTATTGTGTCTAATTAGTGAAATGACGATTGCGTTGGTATCATTTTACTAATATCAACAAAGAATTAGAGAAAACATTATCAGAACCCTAGTTCTAAAAATGAGTTCCATTGATTATTTCTTCTTTCCAGGGAGAAAGTGTTCCTTGGAAACCCTTCTTGCATAGATATAGTGTGCCATACAAGGAATCCAAGAGCACATCTCCACTGTGGTACTCCATCAAAAGAGCATCAGCTTACATAATTGTCCTCAATTCTTATTCAGCCTATGGTAAGAACGAAGCCATTGTTCAAAAAAAAAAAAAAAAGTTCATTTTATTAAATTAAAATAATCTGACAAAGTGGATCATTATTATGGAATGGAAACAGTATCAAAATTTTGTCCACTTTTTTAACTGGAGGAAAAGGGGTTGATCCAGATTGTTCCTTGTTGTGATTTATTAGGTAAATATACCCCACAATACTCATGGCTCGAACAAGAGCTCCCAAAAATCAACAGAAAACAAACTCCATGGGTAATTGTTCTGCTTCATTCTCCATGGTACAACTCTAACAACTACCATTACATGGAAGGAGAAAGCATGAGAGTCATGTTTGAGCCTTGGTTTGTTGAGCACAAGGTTGATATTGTTTTCGCAGGCCATGTTCATAGTTATGAACGCTCCGTAAGTTCCTGTTTTAATCTTTTTTTTTTTTGGAAAGCAAACATGTAGTACTTTATAGGATTAATTGAACCTTAATTGATATAAATGTCTTCTAATTAACCTTAACAACAAATAATGCATAAAATGTCACATAATTAATTCGTTATTGAACATATAAAATGTGAAATAATTTTTGCGTTTTCGTATAAAAACAGGAGAGGGTATCAAACATAAAGTACAATATTACGGATGGATTGAGTGCTCCCATTAGGGATTCGTCTGCTCCCGTCTACATTACCATTGGTGACGGTGGAAATGTTGAAGGCATAGCCAACAAGTAAGATGAGCTACACTCTTCTTCTTCTTCTTTCAAATCCTCTATTTTCATACCATTGTTTTCTTAATTTTTGCCATATATATATACTAAATAAATTGAGCAGGATTTTAGTGGGTATTTTCTCTATTGTAAAGTTCATAATTAACTATGATCTATATTGAAAAGTATATCGCCGCGATTTTGCGGTGTGTATCATGCGGTACTCATAATAATTATTATTATAACTAAATCATGATAGAAAAAGTAAGAAGGACCGAAAAAAAGTGGGTAGAATATTTGACCTTCACATATTTGACCTTTTTCTTTTTTTTCTTTTTTTTTTTTTGTTTGTTTGGAAAATTGAATGCAGCTTCATAGATCCCCAACCACATTACTCAGCATTCCGGGAAGCAAGTTTTGGGCATGCAATTCTGGAAATTAAGAACAGAACACATGCATTTTACACTTGGCATCGTAACCATGATAATGAGCCTGTCGCTGCTGATTCCATGTGGTTTTACAACCGATTTTGGCACCCTGAAGAAGAGCCAAGCACCATCCGTTAATTAGTTCTGGCTTGAATTAAGTAGTTTTCAGTTTTTGTTTTTATTTTTTTTATTTTTTCATTTTTCCCCTTCAGCTTCTGTGCAGTGTTTGGCTATTCTAGTTTAGAGGTGCCGATCCTAATTACTCCTTCTGTCCTAAAATTATTATCTAATTTGCATTTTCATTTTTAGTTCAATTTGGAACAGAGGGGTACTATTTAATTTTGTAGTGTTTTCTTCTTGCTATAATAATTTTTTTAAAAAAAATTAAATCAGATTGATTTCCAAACAAATGTTTGTGCGATAAACACAAATTAAATGCGAGGAGGTAGTTCGCAAAGGGTTTTATGGCAATAGACCCCATTGCATGCTCAAGAAAGCTTAATTACATGATGTGAAGAAACAGATTAGGATGTATCCGTTAAATACAAGAAGAAGACTTCAAGAAAGGTTTAGTTCTGTTTCTCTTCAGCTAGTGGTTTGTTCCGTGCTTCTCATTCAATCAATTTGGCTGCTATGTTTCTTAAAAAATGGAGCAATCTTTTAAACTTAGGTTGTCGTGTGGTTGACTTAATCTTCCATCAGAGGGTATAACCCCTTTTTTATTTACCTCTTCAAAACACCAAAAGAACACCTGTGAAAAACAAATTTGACTAAACCTTAAAAAAAGAGAAAAATTAAAGGTGTAGAAGAAAATCAATTGTAACACTGAATGATTGACATTTAATTATACTAGTGTGTCCCGCGCTTTGCGCGGGTTTGTCAATATTGAAAATTTATCTTTCAAAAAAATTAATTAAATAATGTAGTTACAAATATACCGTCCTAGTTCTCTTTAAAAAAATGTAGTTACTAATATTTCTTAAAACTGTAATATTTTTTTGATTAATCAATTTTTTTTAGATCAAAATGAGAGGTATTGATATTATTTATGAGAGATATATTTGTAAGATCTGGTCAAAAATATTACAATAAAGATTTTCAAAAATTGTATAATAAAAATTATCGCCACTAACTAATATTATGTTTGGATTAAAAAATATATTTAAAAAATACGTAGATTATGTCTAGATGCCTATGACCTATTTATAAGCAAGGGGACTTTGGGGGATTAGATGTAGTTCTAATAAAATATGAGACACAATTAATCGTTCTTGAAAATGTAAAATCGATAAACTTGAAGACTAAGTAGCACACAAATGAAAATTTAAAGGCGAAAATGACAATAGGTTGAAAGTTTAAACTCGTAAATGAAAGGACTTATGAAGTCCGGAGTTTCTCAGTAATTTTCAAAAATATTCATTTTCAAGCTCACAATCAGAAATTTGTAATATCTGTAAAAAGTAACTGATTATAAAAAATTTTAACTGATTAATGATCAACCAATTAGCAAATGACACGTATTAATTGAGGCTTGATGATCTCAATAAACGACACTTGTGGATTATCTTTCTTTCCTTTAATATATATAAAATGATATGATGATTCCCAATCGCAAGATATTTCCCTACGTATTCAAATCACAACTTGTTTCCAACTTGTCCCAAATTTCCTTCCCTTAGCTGTCAAGATAATCTATAAAATACAAACATGGCTGAAATTTTAAAACAACATTTAGCGTCTTATTATGAATCATCGACCCCATTTCTTCAAGATTGACGTCCTAATTATCAATTTTTTAGTTCATCACCTCCATTAATCATTCTAATGATTCCATTATCATTGATCTCGAGACCCCAAGTGATCTCAGAATCTGTTGGATTCACTTAAAATTTTTGGCATCGACGTGTACGTGAATAATGATATTATTATTACTACTACTCAATAGCTGTTGATTACAAAGCTAAGCTAAGTTATGTGGTCAATTAAATCTAGAATTTGGTTTCATCTAGCCTAGGTACTACTAATTAAGGTCAATATTTCATTAAACACAAGTTGGCATACACTGAATATGCTGTATTTTATTCACGAAATACCACTAGACGGCAATTTTTATTACTGAAAAATTCTTGCAATCTATATAAAAATTGGCTAGAGAAACAACCTAAATACATAATCAACAATTAGTTTTAATATGCCTCAATTCAACTGACCACTCTCCATTCACATGCTTTCTAATGGCTCGTAAGAGCATCTACAATCACTACAACAAAAATGGATTATTAATACCTTTATAATGTGACACTTTTCCTAAATTGTGTCTCATTATATGTGTATTAGGACATTTGCTAAAAAGTGTCTTATTAAAAATGAAAAAGTGTATGCATATTATGAAACACTATCATAAGTGTATTATGTGAGGTTGCTTATAAACTATTATCCTATTTAATGAGTCACTTTAAAGTGTCTTAATAAGTGACAATCTAATAATACACTTTCAAATGTTTTATGACTTATTGTGACTCGATTATAGGATGCACTATTTAGTAGTGCTCCACGCAATGTGAATCACATGTATCCTATTACATCACTTATTGAGACACAAAAGTATCTAAAACTACTCATTTTTGTTGTAGTGAATAGTGGTGAATAACAAGTGAATGACCACTTTATTATACTCGCTCCGTCCCATAATTATTGTGCAGTTTGAATTTTTATTTCTAGTTCAAATTGTACTAAAAATGAAATCTCAAACATGACAATAATTTTGGGACGGAGGGAGTACTGTTTATCATTATGTTGAGTGTGATAATATGCTCTAAGAAAGTAGTATAACACACTTTTTGGTGTTAAAATGTAATTAATGTGAATTTATGATGGAACTAAAAATTTCATTTTATTACCCACATATTTTTAGAGTGTAAACCAATATAGAGAAAAATAGAATAAATATATAATTTTGAAAATTTATGACATTATACTCACAATAGTGTAAACCATTGTAGCTGCTCTAAGAAATTAATCCCCCAATGTAATGTTTAAATAGATCTCCTAAAAATCTATTAGATTGTAGGAAAAATAAAATTAAAGCGCTTCAGAATATACTATTTTTTCCCCTTTCCTTACAACTTCTAAAAAGTAAAATCAATTTCAAAAAATGAGAAAAAAAAACCTTCGGAATCCAGATTTCATAAATGTTGCAATAACATTACTATTACAGTATGTTTTAAAAGTTAGCATACGAATTCTTTTTATACAAAAAAACAATGGAACCAAAATATTTTAGACCACGAGCCAATTGTATTATCTGCCGAGAAAAAGTGTCTGAACACCTCCGAAAAACGTGGATCCGACGTGGATATCTGATCTGTCGACCAATCCAGTTCATCCTAACGTATCTTTCCTTTCCTTTCCCGATCCGCGTTGAAAAACCTTTTTTTCGTCTCCAATACTCAAAAAACCCCAAAGCCATCATCTTCTGCAATAAGAAATTCTAAGAAATGGTGGTGGTAAATTCAATCCACAGTCCTCAATCTTCTATTACTATAAATGGGCAGCTTCTCCATTCACCCTTCTCCCATCAATTCATATCATCTCTTAGTTTGTTAAAGCCTAATCCGTCTATTATTTTATCAGCATCTCATTTGTCCCTTTTCAACTCTGTCGTCAAGAACAGATTTTTATCAGTCCCTCGGATTTTATCATACAAGGTAAGCCTAAAGATTGCTTTTTTTGATAGTATTGTGTGATTTGTATTCTGGGTTTGTGTTTTTGTATTGGTCAGAGTTACTGATATTCTTGTTTGTTGGGAAATTATAAAGTGTCTTTTGTTATTTAGGACAGTCAAAGAGAAATGACGATCAAGCCGGCTTTTAGAATTACAGAGAAGAAGCTGGTGGTGCTTAAAGACCATGTCATATTGACAAACGTGCCTGAAAATGTGATTTCCACTTCGGGTTCTGATTCGGGTCCGGTGGAGGGAGTGTTCTTGGGTGCAGTTTTCGATCAAGAAAGCAGCCGCCATGTGATTTCATTGGGAACATTGCGTGATATCCGGTTTATGGCGTGTTTTAGATTCAAGTTATGGTGGATGGCTCAAAGAATGGGTGACAGGGGAAGTGATATTCCTCTGGAGACCCAATTTTTGTTGGTGGAAACCAAAGATATTGATGGTGAGATTGTTTATACAGTTTTTCTTCCTTTAATTGATGGTCCATTTAGGGGTGTTTTGCAAGGGAATTCCCAAGATGAACTTGAATTGTGCTTAGAAAGTGGGGATAGTGATACTGTTGGGTCGACTTTTACTCATTCTGTTTATGTTAGTTCTGGAACTGATCCTTTTGTGGTCATTAGTGAGGCATTTAGAGTAGTTAAATTACACCTTAACTCATTCAGGCAAAGGCATGAAAAGAAGCTGCCCGGGATTGTTGATTATTTTGGATGGTGTACTTGGGATGCATTTTACCAGGATGTGACTCAAGAAGGTGTTGAGGCTGGCCTTCAGAGCCTTTCTGCCGGCGGGACGCCTCCCAAATTTGTTATCATCGATGACGGATGGCAATCTGTTGGGGGTGATCAACAGGAGTCTGATCAGAAGCAGCAGCCTTTGATGAGATTGACTGGGATTAAGGAGAATTCCAAGTTTCAAAAGAAAGATGATCCATCAATTGGGATAAAGAATATTGTCAACATAGCTAAGGAGAAATATGGATTGAAGTATGTTTATGTCTGGCATGCTATAACTGGATATTGGGGTGGGGTTAGGCCCGGGGTGAAGGAGATGGAGCAGTATGATTCAGTTATGAAATATCCGAATATTTCTAAAGGTGTCATGGAGAATGAGCCTTGGTGGAAAACTGATGTACTGGCTCTCCAAGGTTTGGGTTTGGTGAATCCACGAAATGTGTACAAGTTCTATACAGAACTGCACAGTTATTTGGCTTATGCCGGCATTGATGGGGTTAAGGTTGATGTGCAATGCATATTGGAGACCTTAAGTTCTGGTTTCGGTGGCAGAGTTGAGCTGACCAGACAGTATCATCAGGCTCTTGATGCTTCAGTTGCTAAGAGTTTTCCAGATAATGGCTGCATTGCCTGCATGAGCCACAATACAGATGCGCTTTACTGGTATACTCTTTTGGCTTTTTCTTTGCTAAAATATGAGACTTCCTTTAGGCTTTTGGTTAAGCAAAACTAAGTAGGTGCTGAAGTTCTAAAAAACTGATCTTTTTTTGTTTCATGATTACTGCAAAACAGCTCCAAACAAACGGCGATTGTGAGGGCATCAGATGATTTCTATCCACGTGATCCTGTGTCGCATACCATTCATATTGCTGCAGTGGCATACAACAGTGTTTTCCTTGGAGAAATTATGCAGCCTGATTGGGATATGTTCCACTCACTCCATCCAGCAGCCGAGTATCATGGTTCAGCTAGAGCCATCAGTGGCGGTCCTCTTTATGTGAGGTCTGTTCAATTTTCATATTTCTTCAATGCAGCTCTTTATCTACATGTTTCCTGTTTTTGTGTATACAAAAGACAAGTGCAACTAAAATGTTCTGCTTCGTGAATCATACAGAATATCATTATACTCGGTGGCCTTAAACTTTGATTCTTCCTTATTCTTGTAGTGATGCTCCAGGGAAGCACAACTTCGATATTCTTAAAAAGCTTGTCTTGCCTGATGGTTCGATTCTACGTGCCCGCCTTCCTGGTCGGCCTACCAAAGATTGTCTATTCTCTGATCCTGCCCGTGATGGTCTGAGGTAGAGTTCTTGGCATCATTCTCTATTTTAAAATTAAGCTGATGGCTTTTCTAGCTGATGGCTTTCCAGTAAAAACTGTTTTTGTTAATCCACTCTAGTGATAGATTTCATCTAGTTTCTGACCGAATTTTCAACTGGCAGCCTGTTGAAGATATGGAACATCAACAAATACACAGGAGTTTTAGGAGTATATAATTGCCAAGGTGCAGCATGGAACAGTACTGAGAAAAAGAATACATTCCATCAAACTAATCCTGAAGCCATAACAGGCTACATTAGGGGATGTGATGTACATCTCATCCACGAAGTCGCTTTAGATCCTGAGTGGAGTGGTGATTGTGCTGTTTACAGCCACCGGAGTGGTGAAATCATATGTTTGCCACATAATGCAGCAATGCCAATCTCACTAAAGGTTCTTGAGCACGAAATCTACACTGTGACGCCAATTAAAACTCTGGCTCCCGGTTTCAGCTTCGCGCCACTAGGCCTCATTAATATGTATAATGCTGGTGGAGCAATTGAAGGGCTTAAATACGATATTAAGTCTGGTGCTCAGTTGTCTGAAGGGGAAGGTGCGACTTTTGCCGGGGAGAGAGTTGAGAACATCAGCACTGAAGCAGTAGCTGTTGTCCGGATTGAAGCCAAGGGATGTGGGCAGTTTGGTGCTTACTCATCTGCTAAGCCTAGAAAGTGCAGAGTAGGTTCAAATCTAGTGGATTTCTCTTATGATTTAGACTCAGGATTGGTTTCATTTAACTTGGATGATATGCCTCCAGAGGATCAGAAAGTCCACCTGTTGGAGATTGAGTTGTAATCTAGAGTTGTTTTGCTCTAAGCTTCTACCATTTTACAATTTTCGGTGCAAATTCTTGGATCTTCAGGGTCTAAAATATTCCGAACTTAATCGCAATTGCCATGGCAATATCAAAGATATGAAAGGGATGCATTGAGATAGGAGAATTTGTTTACCAAAAGGGAATTTTTTTGGAGAATTCAACTACTACGCCTACGCCTATATATCCTAAAATAAGAGTCATGTTCTAATAGTTTAGTTTAACGAAAATAACTTCAAAAGAGGGAATGCGTATTTCTTTTTGGTATGAGAAATGTTAGTACTGTATTTGAAATGAGAAATGGCTAAGTGATATAAGCAGTATTTTTTTTAGTAGATGATTACAATTGTGCATAAACACAGGAACCAGTTAATAGGGCCAGAGGGCGGGGGTTAATACTGCCACCAATTCATCCACCCCATGCAACATAAATTGCTTGTGTAAGAATAAGATAATACAACATCAAGTAAGAGAACTAAACTTAACACTAAAGTATCAAACTTTCGTAGATTTCCTTGTTGATTTCTGCAAAGAATGCGGAAAAAATTGCCGCAAATCATATACTCCCTCCATTTAAAAATATAAGTCTTTTTAGACTATGCACGTAAACTAAAGAAACAATCATCCAATAATTAATTTATGTGTCAAATACTATCTCTTTTATCTCTTATTAATTGCATTGTAACTATAAAAAAACTAAATGAAAATAGATTGGCATCATTTATTGAGGGTAAAGTTGAAAAAATAGTCATTAATCTGCCTACAATTTGTAAAACAACCTATATTTTGAAAAATCTCTCCAAACCTAAACCACCTACAATTTGAAATGGAGGAGTAACATTTTATGAATTTTAGATTATTCTGTCTATTTTTTAATTAGAGATCAGCAAAATTTATAACTAATAGAATGTAATAAATCAAAAAGTATCAATAATTCAGATGGTATTTACTGCAGTTTGAACAATAAATTTTTTGCTTTTTTGATTTTATTTTTTTTCACTTGTATCGGTTTCGAAGAAAAATTTGACCAGTATAGAGTTCGGTTTTGGGGAGAATGAGCAAATGTCACAGTGACAGAATGGTTGTTACGGACTACGGTAAAAAAAAAATAAGAAGAAAAATAAGAGTATAATCAAGATATCAAGTACAGTCGGAGCCGTACTTATAAAATCTTCTTTCGGCCAATGCCAATTAATATCAGAGTCCATTCTGTCATTTCCTTTTTATTTTTAATTTTTTTGTTCAGTTGTTGGGCCCCACACACGGAAGGTAAACTATAAAAGATAAATAAAAAATTTTATTGGTGTTATAAATTTAATCTTTTTGTAATATCCAGGCTGGATTTTATCAATCACCTGCCTCCTTCTTTCTTTTGACTGTAGTAACATTTCAGGTGATTTCTACATCGCATAAGCTTCCTTCCGCCCCCCGTTTCTCACAGATCATCCACCTCCTCCCCCTTCATCCGGATTTAATCACTTTAGATATCTGGAGGAGAAGTATTGATGGATTACCATCTTCCTTGTTGTATTCCCAAGAGATTCTTGTTCTTGATGTTCTTTTGTATTGCTAGAATGATGATTGAAAAGTTGCTCAAGGTCAGATCTTGCAAAGATTGAGTCTTTTTTCCTTCTTTGTTGTTAATTGGATGAGAAAAATCATGGTTCAGATTCTTACTAGGGCATTTTTTGGAATATTTCAGTTACAGGTATGTATTGGGAAGAGCTCTACAATTTCTGGAATAGGATAAAGGATAAAATCTGTTGCTTTTGAGGTGAGAAAATGATTAAATCTTGATCTCTAACAGTTTTTCTGATATCACCATGCAATAAAGTCTGGATCTTTAATCGTAGTTTGTCAATTTATCGTTGTGGGATTGAATATTAATTGAAGGATATTTATCTGGAGGAGGGGAGTTGATAGATTGGATGATTGGACTGGGGATTTCTCATCTTCTTTGTTGGACAGCCAAAGAGATTCTTGTTCTTGCTGCTGTTTATTTTGGTGGAATGATAATTGAAGAGGTGCTCAAGATGAGATCTTTCAGAGATTGAGTCTTTAATTTCCTTATTTTTTTTAAAAAAATTAAAAGGATGAGAAATTTATGGTTCAGATTCCTACTGGGCCGCGTAGGAAGACTTCAGTTACTGTGGTGGCTGTTTAGAAGAGCTCTACAATTTATTGAATAGGAAAAAGGAGAAGAATCTGTTGGTTTTGATGTATGAAAATGATTACTTCGTGATCGGTTAGAGTTTTCTGATATCACCATGAGATGAAAGTCTGGATCATTAGCTGTGGTTTGTCAAGTTACTGTTTCGGGTTGGTTTTTTGATTGAAGGTGGATGTTATAAATGAGCTACTAAGAAAGATAAAGGTGTTCTGCCTAGCATTTCCTCACAAATTTATGTTCCTTATGCCAATTTCTAATTGTATCAGCAAATAAGATAGAGGTGTTTTGAGATTTGCTTCACTTCCTCATAGTTTGCCGTTAGTGATTTGATATCTCATTCTTTCACTTTTCAGGTCATCTCATCACATTCATTCCTTCTGGTGCTCCCTCTCTGCTATTCGCATCTGGATAAATCCCTTAAGATTACCAATGGAAAAACGGGGAGATGTTGGATGACGGAGCCTGGGATTGATCATTTTCCTTGTTAGACACCTGAGAGAGAATCTGTGTCTTGATGTAAGAAAATGATAGTTATTACTAATCTTTATATCACAAAGGATCTCTGGTTACCTTTGTTCATTCCCCCATAGCTTGCTATCAGTGATCTGATATCTAATTCCCATACTTTTCAGGTGATATCTGACATCCATTCTTTCTGCTGCACCATTTCTGTTCAATGGTATATATATATATATATATATGCGAATGTAAAGCCCTTCCCTTATTATGTATTTGTTTGTTATTTATAGATGAGGGTTTTGTGGTTTATGTTCTTACTGGGGCGTGTGGGACAATGTCATTTACAGCTGGGGGTAGGGATGCGATGTAGACTCTGCTGGTTTTGATTTAAGAAAATGGTTAGTCCTTGGTGCGTTGTTTAACATTTGGGGTTGTTTGATTGTAGGATTAATCTGCTGTATTTCTTTCCTCGTAATTTATTGCCATTTGTGCTCTTCTACAAATTTTGGGTTGTATTTGTATTCCATGTACTTAATAAGATAAAGATGTTAGCAGATTTGCTTCATCACCTCATGATTTCTATTGTATCTGTATCCATTTTCTTAATAAGATAAAGATGTTAGCAGATTTGCTTCAGAACCTCTTAATTTCCGGTTAATAATCTATATCTCTTTCTTTATCTTTTCAGGTGATTTCATCGCATCTATTCATTCTGGCTCTCCCTCCCTTTCTGTTCCTCCACCTTCTTTCCTTCATCCTTTGTCACATGCAGTCCATGTTTCCTTTTGGAGAAGGGTTGATAGTCTGGATGATGGAGCTGTGGATTTGTCATTTTTCTTGGTTGGACTCAAAAAGATTCATGTTCTGCTGCTGATAGTTTTTTTTTGGGTGGCTGCTTCCGAGCTTACAACCACGGTAATGCTATCAGGCACCGAGGCTCATCATCATCGGCAGTTATCTTAATTGAAGAGTCATGGAAGAAACTCTGTAGACTTAAGGTACCTACTCCGAAGCTTACAACCACAATACTGGTAACAGGCTGGGAGTCTCGCCACTGAGGTAGCTTCTGCCCATAGAGGCATGATCGCGAAGAAAATTGCAGGCAGATGCATGAAGAAGCAAGGAATTGTAGAACGCCCTCTGGATTGTGAATGTCCACAGAGTAAGGAATTGCTCTCCCTATCGTATTGATTTCAGCAGGTCGTAAAGGATGAGCTTCTTTGAGTGGCTTCAATCGTGTTTATTGTCAGCACCAGATCTCAAAATGATTCAACAAGCCTTCTTTGACATATGGATTATGTGGCAAGGGAGGAATTCACTAGTGCGGGGGATACTGGAAGGATCCACGGGAAGAACCATTTCAGTACATAACACAACGGGCATGGAAAGAGCATTTGCTTTTGGCACTGTAAATTTATTAAATGTCCAACTGTGGAGGACAAAAAATATGAATTTTAGACATGATTTGCGTTATTTTATACACTAGTATATGCGCTAGCGCCACCCTAATGGTTTCCAACCCCATGAACTGAACTGTGTGTTACATGTTACCGTGTTTACCATATTAGAAGTTGCGCTATACAATTCGACTTGGCAAATACAACAAAGCTAAAAACCACACAATTGGACTTCAAATACAACAAAGCTAAAATCTACACAAATATTTCAAGTATTGATGCTAACTGAATCAAGATCCCTGCCCTGTTGCACCATGAAATATTAATGATCATCCCAATGGAATTTTTTTTTATTCAGCAAATTCCTCACTGTTCTGTACTAGCAGCAGACATGACCGCGAGAGTTTCTTGTTTCTTATCTATCGTTCACGAAGCTATATTCTACTACCGTTTCCAGCCTCTTGACTCAACAACCCAAACGTGGAGGCCAGTTGTAAAACCCCCAGCAACACCACCTGGTGGCAAAACGTAACTTTAAACAACAGAAATCATGTGCAGCGATGAAATGTAAAGAGCAACAACAAAGAACGAAATGTCAGGAGGCATTCAAGAAACATGAGCTTCTCCTGCTGCCAATGAGAAACCCACAGTACTAAGCTAAAACAAGCAACGATATAAAAACTGATATTCTGCAAAAAAAATCCAGGCCACTGAATTTACTTTCTCCTCATCAAAGAAATTAAGCATCTCTCTGAAGCTTTGGACAGCCATGGGTACTTCTGCAGCAACATGGCATCAATCACTGAACTCTACATTGCAACCTAATTGACAGAAGTCCAAAAATCAAATGCTCCTACATAAAAATGTAAGCAAGTAATAAGTAAAGAAGTCCATCTCAACAGCAAGGAACCACATCGTACATTTGCATCAGCCATGGAATTTAATTGTATGGATGGATAACTACCAATTGACTCCCACCATGCTTATTACTGTGGTGTCACATTGACACCATTAAGTTAATGTAGTAAGTGCTTGTTTGGACAATAACTCATTTTGTATTTTAACTCATTTTACCTCTTAAACATAAAACCTAATGGAAAAAAAAACATCATCCAAAAAACTTTCTGATTTACATTTTAAAATCAAACTTGCAGTATTTTGTTAGTGTAGTGACCATTTTTTGGAACTAAAAATAGTTCAGTGACTAAATCCAAAACTTTGCACATTTATTTCAATTTGCCTCTAATCAAAAAACACTTTCTACAATTGATGGTGGTTAGGAAAAAGGTTTTTGAAATATGTATTGAAATATCAAGTACGAAAAATATCACTAAACAATTGAAAAGTGTCAATTTTAGTTACTGAAATTGTCAAAAATGTCAAAAATGATCACTAAATAACTGAAATTGTCAATTTTGGTCACTATAAAATTTTTTTGATATTTTTTTTATAGTAATTAAAATTGACAATTTTAGATTGTGCTTTTTGCTAAAATATCATCCAAACAATGTTTTCATTTCTCACTAGATTTTTAACTTTAAACATATTCCACTTCTAAGTCAAGAATGAAAACTAAGATGATGTCCAATCAAGTATTAAGTTGCCATATTCATATTCCAATCTTGTAAACACGACACCTACTTGGTGGTTGGTTTTAGTCGCTTATATCAGTTGCTTTTCGCAAACTTAACAATGCAAGAAAATTTGAA